GCGCATTTTTTCGAATGAATCTGCGAAAGAAGATGTTAACCCTAAAAACTGTTGTATGGCTTTTTTGTCTCTGGGAGGTTTAAAAGCTTTAACTGCTCTGGTTTTCTCGGCCGACGGATGAATTGCGCTATTTTCGATTATATATCCCAAAAAATTTACTTTACGTTTCAAAAAATTACACTTTCTCCATTTGATCTGTAGTCCAGCATCTGCTGCTACTGTAAGAACTTCCTTTAGTTTTAGTAACCTCTCCTTCTCGTCTATAGATGGAATGATTAAATCATCCACATAAGTGACTACAGTTTCCTTATCTTTTAGGTCCCTAAAAATCGAATGGATAAATCTGCAGAATACTGCTGGTGAATTAGAGATGCCAAACGGCTCAAATTTAAATTCGAATTGACCTTTCATTGTAACAAACGATGTCTATTTTCTAGAGTTTTCTCGACAGGAACATGCAAAAATCCGTTAGCCAGATCTAATGTGGAAAAAACTTTATATCCCTGGTGTTTCTCAACTACCTCGTTAATCAATATCATTGGAAAATTATCGCGCAAAATTTTCCCATTTTATTTGCGATAATGTAACATAATCGCTTTGTTTTATCCTTTTTAAACACAATTTGATCTTGAAATGATACGCACCTGGGTGACTGATGTACCGGTACATCGTCCTTTAAACTAATTTTCATTTCCACCGGGGAAAATTCCTTTTGGCTCATATTAAGCGATCAGCTTTTCCACTTCTAACATTTTTCCCCTATCCAGATGTGACAAATCATACTTTGGTTTCGGCGCTTGTTCTTTTATACAAATCATACTAAAAGCTAATATTTCTGCCTCTTCTGCGATTTGGTCATCATAGTCTTTGTTGTCCTTTTGACGAGTATTTGGTTTATACTTCGTTTGAAATTTATCGTTCTCTTCACTAACTATCAAATCGACCTGACTCAAAACTGCACGTCCAATTATTGCCGGATATTGAAGATCCCTATTGTTGACAATATGAAATGTGATATTTATCTCAACATCATCTACTTTTGCTTTAGTTTCGAAACTGCCAAACGTGACCACTTTCGCACTACCGATTCCACCCAGCATTCGCTTAAAAATTGTCTTTTTCACTTTTGATTTTAACCGTTGGACATTCGCAGCGCTCCATCTTGTTGCATTTATAACATCTAATTTGTTGGTTTGTGCAATTCCTTGCTATGCCCGAAGTTTCGCCACATTTGAAAGATGCCTGTTGGATATTTTCCTTCCCATCTCCCCTGAGTAACTACTCCTTTCATAACTTCGACCTTTGATTTGTATCTAATTCTTTCATAAATTTTTATTTGCTCTTTTAATTCCCCTATACTCCTTGCTTAGTACAAAACCGTTTTGTTCACTTTTGAATCGGGTATCCCTAGTATGAAGTATTCTAATTCTTGTATACTAGCTTCCTACAGTTTTAGCCGCTTTCTTATTTCCATTAAGGCATATAAAAATTAAATAAATGTTTTGCTTTGTTTCTTTTGACGATTTCTTAAAAGCCTATGTGCCTCAGCTGATGAAAATGATATTTCGATCATCAATTTTCATGAAAATCGTGTTGCAAATAAGATATTAAGGGAAATTATTATTGATAAGGGAAAATTTCAAAATTTTAAAGGAAGATTTAAAGGTGATGGGTCAAATAAATTTGAGATAATATTATAAAAGAATATGAAATATTTAGGATATACAAATATATAAAAAGTAAAATCGAATGACAAAGGTTTAGAAGATACCTATAAAAAATTTCCGCCACCGAAAAATATACATGAAAAAGGATTTTTAGCTGAAATAAACGCATGCAATATGTGGGTGCGTTAAACCATTGTGCCAATTTAATGGTATTGAAAGTAAATACTTTTGAGAAGTAATTAATTACTTGTAAGGGAAAAATAAAAACATTCCATAGCAACTATAGGAAAAACGACACAACATATACGAAAGGCGAAATGGAATTTTATATAGAAACTTTTTTTTATGTGCCACAGGATATGAAATCTCATATAATGTATCGATATCACGACGAAGCAGGTATACATTACTTATATTAAAAGTTACTGGTTTCCAAAAATTTGAGAATAAATTTACATAAACATAAAAACTCTATAAATTTGTTTTTTCCGTAATTCAGAATAAGATATTTCGTATATTTTAACAGTTAGCTGTAGATATTAAAAATATACTATGTTGGACTTTAACATATTTAAATGCACTATCAACTAAAATGTTAAATGCGTTTATAACAGAAACTGTTCCCTGTACAATACACCTCAAGCAAACTCAGTGCCCTTTAGTGAATGAAATTATTCAGTTAAGTATGGTAATCCTATTCCTTCGTTTTCTATTCTCGCTGGGAAATATCAATTGGAACTTAGTTATACAAATGTATATAGATCCATTCATAAAAACGTTCAGAATGTTTATGGTCAACAGACTAAGAAACGAACTAAGGTACCGCTGCGAAGGCTAAGTCGAAACGACGTATCGTTTGTGTTCTTAAATAGTACCCGCTGCGACCTCAAATCAGCGCCTATGTATGTTTTCATGAGTTCATTGTTGCTATTTTGACTTATACGCCAGTCAGAGATAACTAACGAGTTTTTACGTTTCTCGCTCATTCAGCTTCTTTTGTGTCTGCGTAGTTACTTCGAATTTTTTCCCCACCACTTTTTGTTCATATGTTTTAGATTCTGATTTGTATGTTAGACTTTCGTTTTCACTTTTTGTTAATTTTGCTTGATGTGAGATAATTTACCTGAAAGTTCGAATGGCTTGCTAGAGGCGTTGTTAAGTTGATTGGACTATCTGATATCCCCTGTTTTAAAAGTGTGAATAAAGAGGTAGCTTTTGTCTTAAATTTATTTTTCTACTTAAAAAAAATCTCGATGTAATTTTAATTGTACTTAGTTTTTTTTAAACAAGATCATTACGAACCTGCGTAATTACTAGCACAAAATTTGTAGAAGTAAATAAAGTATCCGAAGGATAAACAAATTAAACTTATTACGATTTGAAATGAAAACAAGAAAAATTGTTAAATCCAGCAGCATAGAAGCTATAATACCCTTCACAGGAGCATTTCTTATAGCAAAAAAGGGTATCAAAAGATGTTGATATTGATTGGTCAATTTATAATGGCAGCTTTACAAGAAAAAAAAAACATATTTTTTTTGCCCCGGATATCTTATAAAATTTTGATTGTTTTAAATGCCCAGATTACAAATTTATTCAGAAGATTGTTGAGTGTGCTCTTGTTTTTAAGATTTTTGCATATCTTACATTTTGATCAACTATCGGCTTCTTAGTAATAAAATTTATTTTTCCAGTTATGATTGGGGTTTTTCGCAACTTTTTCGTGCACAGAAACATGACGTAATCCCCATTCTCAGACTCCTTAACAAAAATATGCGAAAAATTATGGGGAAGATGTTAAGGTTTAAATAAACATCAAACGTGAAGATATCTACACTCAAAGTCCACCAAAAGTTTCAAAACAAATTCGAATGAATGATTCAGAAGCAATGATGACGTCAAATACCCAAATATTGGTACAGTCTACCATTTGAATAAGATGGTGAAACATCTACCCCAAAGTTATTTTCTCAAAATGTTGTGTTGTGTTTTAATACGTGATCAAGTTAGGTATGATAAATTCCATTTTTCAAGCGGTGGACGATGTGGGATATTGTTTCGATTACAGTTGTAGAAAATTTCTAAAGCTTGGTATGAAAACTTGAAAGGTGAAATATTTGATTGTCCTCAAATACGGCAATTAATGAAAAATACAGATTTTCTCAAGGTTACGACTTTACGGGATATTGAGGCTTGAAAAAGTTTTCTGTTCTGATAGTTGAAAATTTCCTAGGTAACTATAAATCCCCAAATAATGAAGAAATTTCGAAAAATACGCTGACAAACTTACAAATTTTAAGAGCAATAAAGAGTATCGAGCTACTTTTAATAAATTCACTATTCTAGACTGTCCTCACTGCCTTTGGAGATTTGACTTGAGGGAGATTTCGAGTAGATTAACTTCAAATCTCCTCGGTGACGAGATTAACAAGTGTAATTTTGGTATGGCGAAACCTCTAAATCTAGTTTATTAGTGAGTGATTAAATGTCGGTCGGAACATGGTATTAGATATGGTATCGTCATATAATGGCAGATTACTGCTGGTCCTTAAAAAAAGATTTTTGACTAGAAAATTATAAAAGAAAAGCCCACATAAGGAGTTTTATTAAAATATAACATATGTTTTCGACATTTTTCTCTGTTTACTTGTGTTATAATATTATATATGTTAATTTGTTTTATGTTTTCTGATTTGTGTAATGTAAAATGAAAATAAGGATTAAAAAATAAACGAGAGCAAATCTTACCAAATCATTTATAGTTTCATGATTTATTAACCCAAATATGTATCAGAAATAGATATTATATCTAGGGCAACAAAACCACTGTTATCTTTACCAAGTTTCGAGAAGATATCTTGTTAAGTAAAAAAGTTTTCCATACAAAAACTTGATTTTGATCGGTCAGTTTCTATGGCAGCTATATGCTGTAGTTTTCCGATATCGAAAATGCTGACGAATGAGCATCTACTTAGGGAAAAAAGGACGGGTGCAAAACTTCACAACAATGTCTCAAAAACTGAGGGACTAGTTCGGGTATATACATACAGACAGACGAACATGTTTAAATCGACTCAGTTCGTCACGCTGATCATTTACATATGCCATATGTATACTGTATAGGGTCTCTGACGTTTTCTTCGTGGTATACCCTGCACAGGATTTAAATACATGCATACATACACATTGTAACGGTATACTATATACTAAAAGTTTAAGAATAGAAAGGTTATATTTAAAATCTGAAAATGTATTCGATTCGAAAATTTGCGAAAAAAACATTGATACTAATTGTAATTATTATAATATATTAATAAATCTTTATATTTGTACCTTACAAATAGTTGCTCCTGATTATTAACACGCCACGAAACAACAGTTGCACCTGAAAGAAATTAGTGAAAAATGTATAGGACATGGTAGTAAACATAAAAGCAAATATAAAACAAATAAGGAAGTTCTGGTGTACCAAACATTTTATACTCTCGCTTTTTTCAATTTGAAATACTTATATAAGATATATGGGAGCTAGGGGATAATTTGAATCAATTTTATGCAGCTTTCGTATTAGAACATGTCAATACCAGGAATAAAGTCAAGCGGATGTTTGAAAATCCGTATATCCGTATGTAGGGGCTAGGGAAAGCATTGCACCGATTTTATCTATTTTAGGCATTGGTTACACTGTTATTAGAAATATATTCTTTCTGAATTTCATTAAGATGTCATAAAATTAACCGGAAGTTTTAAAATCTTTATATTAGGTACATGGGGGCTAGGGGAAGTATTGACTCGATTATACACATTTTTGGCACAAGGGCATAAATATATTCTGCCCGAATTTCAAAATATAGTTCTCACAGATTGACCGATATTTACCGCAAAATTCGAATTGATTCCGACAGTTTTTAGACGTGAGATGAAATACATAAAAGGCACTATTTGTGCAAAGTTTTGTTTCGATGACGTCATTGACTCTCCATTTATAAATTGTTATATTAGAGAATCAGATGAAATTCAAAATTGTTATATATAGTAAGCAGGCGTAGTTCTAGTCCGATTTTGCCCATTTTCACAGTGTAATAAAGGAATGTCTGGATAATGTGATACATCAAATTTTGAAATATGTCTAGTAGTTTTTGAGATAAAGGACTTCACCTAGGTTGTGGGCGATGCCTGGCACAATATTCGACTTTGATAGCGGCTCCTATAAAGCCCTTTTCATAAAAGATGGGAAATTAAATGCTTCTGACTTATTTACTTAGTGAGTTGTCGCACTTTTAGTAGTTTTCCACATAACCATTATATGGAGCGTGAGCGGAGTGATCATCCGATTTCACAAATTTTCACACTGTCGGAAGAGGTGCCAAAATATTTGTCACGAACAAATTCACATGCCCATTCTTGTGATTCATTGTACCAAATTACAGTTTTGTATCTTAATTTTCGACTTAGTTATTTCGTTTTAGAACATTACAATTTAGACGTACTTTATAACACATTCATTCGGTAATATTATAAAAGATTAGCTACAAAATTGCATGGTTAAAAGAGCGTCTAATAATTAGAAGAGAAATTTTTAACGTACTTGTATTACGTTATTGAATTGATTATGTAAGCTGGTTTGCATTGTGTGTGAGTGATATGAGCTAGGATGAAAATTAATTAATAAATATTTTTGCGTTGGAATTTGGCGAAGATAATATATAATTAACAACTAGAGATTCACCAATTAAAATATATTTTGTGAAAATATGAAAAAGATTTAATTGTCCCTATTTTTTGCTTAGCATTTAACATTTTATACATAAAAATTATCGGAAGCAAAAATTTTACAATAATTGATTCGGTGGTGCTTAGCATTAAACATTTTATACATAAAAATTATCGGAAGCAAACATTTTACAATAATTGATTCGGTGGTGAATCAAATCAATTTATGTCATATTAGTAAAAAAACGCTTTAACTAGAATTTTTAAATGAGTTAAGATTTTAATTTTGTTTGTTCTGTACTTGCCAAGACACATTAAATTTTTATAAAGAATAAATAGAATTGGATAAAACCTGTGAACATTAAAAAGGAAATACTGGCAGAGGTCTTTAGAACCGCATTTCTCAAAGATTTCCATAAATTTCGTTACAGCAAAAAAAATTAATGGAATTATTGAATCTTTGAATCAACCCGACAGCGAAATTCGTAGTTACCAGAATGTTCGAGTGGCGTTGTTTTCGTAACAAAATACTATATAATCGCTGTCAGATTGTGCAGCAGCGACAGTTCTAATTAGAGAGCTGCAAAGAGCTATAAGCAATAAGCTGTAAACTCGAATAACAAGTAATAAGTGTTAAGTTATTTAAATTAGAAATATAGATATGCCATTAAATTGAGAATTTTACTGAACAATCCAGTTTTCGAACTCAAGAGTGAGTTCCGATTTATTGAGAAGAAATATTTTATACATGTTAGGTAAAATAGTATATGTTATAAATGCTCATACAACACGGCAACACCAAGTCAGGTCAGTAAAGGCTGATTCAGATAGAACTTTTGCTTCGCTTTGTGTCAGACATTTGTTTTGACAGGAAAATTCGATGTATGCTCATAAAGTTCACATTGAAACCAAACGCAGCTCGGCAAATAAAAAAGTTGCTTTCTTCACTTCATTGTTTAAGTATGAATTCTCAAGCAAAACGAGGAAAGTTGTATGTGAATAGGACATTATGGCTGATTAACATACAATTTTTGCTTCGCATTGCTCGAAGACCCCTGCTGTTGGTTTAAAACAACCATAGCACATAACCTTATCAATTCTCTTCTCCTGCTGGCAGCAGGATGCGTGTGCATTTTAATTAATAAAGTATTACGTTATCGCACAAAGATCACCACATTCATTTATCTATTAGTAAACCTTGAACAACCTTGACATTTACTAATCGATTAAGTTGGTTTGTCATGTTTTAAAAACCTCTATTCTATACAATTACAACCATTAACACTTTACATATACTCGTACTCGTTTAAAAAATATTCAATAACCATTGGTATTTTTTATGGAAACAAAAGCATTCGTCTTTACAGTCGTACATCGAAATTAAGTTGTTTAAAAAAAGAAAGTTAATACAAGGTGCGTTCCAAAGTAAACAGTAAACAAGTAAGGAAGGGCTAAGTTCGGATGTAACCGAACATTTTATACTCTCGCAAAGTCAAATGGTATACTCGTTTGAGATTTCTTTGTGGATTGGCTGATATTTTCGGTAGAAGGTCAACTATAGGCACTGGGGTCCACATATTTAGTACTTAGGGGCTTGAACAGTTTTGGTTCGATTTAGACAATTTTTGGTCACAAGGCGGCATACATTAAACGTATTATTCACGCAAAGTATTACCCCGATATAATCATTGTTGCTTGATATGCATAGTGGAAAGTGAAAGAATCAGATGGAATTGAAAATGGTGTTATATGGGAAATAGGCGTGGTTGTAGTCCGATTTAGCCCATTTTCGCAATATAACATAGAAATACGAAAAGAACGTTATGCAACGAATTTGGTTGAAATCGGTTAGGCAGATCTCAAGATATGGCTGTGCCACGCCCACTGCCTAATTTTGAACGCAGTTCCTATAAAGTCATCTCATACCATCCCAGAGATAAAATTTAATGTCTCTGGCGTGTTTAGTGCTTGATTTATCGCGCTTTTAGTAGTTTTTAACAGTACCGTTACATATGGAGTGGGCGGAGTTGCCAACCCATTTCAACTATTTTCACACTGTAGGTAGAGGTTCTAAAAACATTTGCTTCCAGTGAATTTTGTTATTATCACATTAGCGGTTTAGGAGATATCCACATTAAACCTATTAGAGTCGGGACCACGCCCACTTTAAAAAAAAATTTAACTGCAGATGCCCCTCCCTAATGTGATCCTGTGTACTAAATAACGGTCTTGTATCTTATTGCGGAGCTTAGTTATGGCAATTTTTTTGTTTTTGATTAATGGCGTTTTGTGGGCGTGACAATGGTCCGATTACGCCCATCTGCAATATCAACCGTCTCACGGTACCAAGAAACATGTCTACCAAGTTTCATAAAGATATCTCAATTTTTACTCAAGTTACAGCTTGCACGGACGGACAGACGGACAGACAGTCACCCGAATTTCAACTCGTCTCTTCATCCTGATCATTTATATATACATAACCCTATATCTAACTCGATTAGTTTTAGGTGATACAAACAACCGTTAGGTGAACAAAACTATTATACTCTGTAGCAACAAGTTGCGAGAGTATAAAAAACTCCACTTTCCGCTGGGGCCCAAAATCAGCTGACGGTGCAGTCAGGACCGGACTTTTTTTAAAACGATTTAAAAATGTCATAATTTTCGCGGCCTCCTTCGTTGGGGGCCCATATGTTAAACTATACATTTACCATAATTTAAAAAAAAAATATCTTTTTGAACTTAGTCAATGGTAACCTTTAATAAAATAGAATAGATAACTCTTATTGACATAAAGAAAACGTTTAAGAAAAGTAAACATTGTGTGAGGTGTAAAACATCCCAGAGTGTTTTCTGAAGGTTTATAACAAATCACAGTTTTGTACGTGGCAATTGCTCAAAGTGTCAAGTTTCATAGAGATTTCTCAATCATTACTCAAGATACAATGTGTCCATTGCATAAATGATATCTAACGAATATTGCGGGCTATCGTTCTCGCACTGGGATGCGCAGGGCTTAAGCTAAAAAATTCTGGGAAGTAAGAATTATACAGTATTGAATACTTTAGTTTCTGTAAAAGATGAAGTGTTGATAAAAAAGATATGAATAATGTCAATATAAAGAACTTGTATTACGATTACTCACCATGCAGATTTATGGTACATGTTGTATTGTTGCCGCGATCCAGAACCACGACACTGGTAGCGTGTGCTGTCGCCGACGAAGTTGCTCCTACAGTTGCCATTTGTATACAATTTTCCGTTTTGAAGGTTTTGTGTAGAAACAAACTTGTCGAGTTAATCTGCAAAACTATTCTAATAATGGTTTCTTATATTATATTTTGACACTTTAACTACCGATTGGTAATATGTACACGTATGGACAAATGTTTTTTTAGTTAAAGTCTGCATGTCCATAAGATAATCTTTTAGGATTTTTAAATGGATTATAAGAAAAAATATTTAATAACCATGAGTATTTTTTATGGAAACAAAAATATTCGTTTTCACATTCGAGAGGAAAGTTGTATGTGAATCGGCCAGTAGGCTCGAAGACGCCTGCTATTGTTATAAAATAACCGTAACACATAACCTTATCAATTCTCTTCTCCTGCTGGCAGCAGGATACGTGTGCATTTTAATTAATAAAGTATTACGTTATCGCACAAAAATCACCACATTCATTTATCTATTAGTAAACCTTGAACAACCTTGACATTTACTAATCGATTAAGTTGGTTAGTCATGTTTTAAAAACCTCTATTCTGTACAATTACAACCATTAACACTTTACATATACTCGTACTCGTTCAAAAAATATTCAATAACCATTGGTATTTTTCATGGAAACAAAAGTATTCGTCTTTACAGTCGTACATCGAAATTAAGTTATTTAAAAAGTTAATATGGCAATCTAAAATCTAATTTACGAAACTTAAAATAACCATTCTTTTAACAAATGCTGTTCAAAAAGATTATTAATTCGTGCTGACCTTAACCTAATTAACTCAAATGAGATATACATGTAGTATGTGATATGAACTCAATCAAAGGGGCTATATTTAATGTATGGGGTATATGAGGAAATTATCTACCGAAGGATGGAACATCCCAAACATTATATGTAGTATATGTGAGCAGGGGTAATACGTCGACCGAAATCGAAAATATCCATTTCGGCATTAAACTATAGTATATCCAATGTTATACTTTCATTTATATTGGCTAAGATTTCTTACATATTGGCCGAAATATACGGTAGAAAGCCAATGGCAAGTTTGAAATTCTTATATAATACTTATCAATTTACTTATAAAAGGTATATGGGAGCTAGGGAATTTTTAGACCCGATTTTATCAAGTTTTAGTAATAAGACATATCATTCCCCAAAATAGAGGTTCTCTGGATTTCATTAAGAAAACTCACAGATTAGCCAATATCTAAGGTATAACGTCATGCGCATGTTTGAAAATCCTTGTAATTGATATTCGGGGACTAGAAGAAGTATAGAGCTGATTTCATTCATTTTAGGTAAGAGAATACATTGTTATTAGAAAAAGATTCTTTCTGAATTTCATTAAGATTTCTTACATATTGAACGATCGATGGGGTATAAAGTCAACAGGAAGTTCGAAAATATTTATGGTATATTAGGTATATGGGGGCTCAGGGACATATTGACCCGATTTTACCTATTTTTGGCACAAGGGCATACGTCAAAAATATTTTCCCCGAATTTCAATACTAGACCCCAGAGATTGACCGTTACGTTTGGTAAAAAATCAGCCATATGCATAGGCATCACATATTTGGTGTCTGGATCCTTGAAATGTTATAGTCCAATTATGAAAATTTTTATTGTAATAACTTCATTGATGTTTGAATTGCATAGTGTAAAATAAAAGAATTAGATTAAATTTAATAGTTTGCTATATAGAAAGTAGGCGTGGTTGTCATCAGATGGGCAAAGCTATCCACTGCCACGTGGAAACTGAAGGAAGACCATAACAAGGAATAAATTAATCAAAATCAAAGGGAGTATCTAGAAATCACTCGGACGAATTTCATTCATAAAGGTATGTCATTTGAACAATTCTTTTAATTGTTTTGGTAAGTCATTTTTTTTAAATCATAACTAGATTAAGTAAAAGATCTATTACTAAGTCGTCCTGAAAATAGAAGACATGTAAATTCTTTGAGAAATATATATGTACAGTATCCGCTTAATTGACACCCGGTGAACTGATTTTGCCGATTAGCGGAATCACTTCATCGGTCAAAAACACATTGCATACAAAATACGTGTAAATTTTCCCGAATAATGGCACAAAAAGCTTTTGTTAAACAAATAATCAGGCATTGCGCACATATGTACATACATATTTCGCAGCATTTGTGATCAAAGCAATTGAAAACAAATGTTTACTGGTGAAGATATTTTGGATGGTGCTGATGTTGAAGAGCAAAAGAAAGAAGATCATCCAAAGCCTCCGTCAGTTCTAGAAGTTTCAAAATATGGTACTTTCAAAAAAGCTAGCTTCAAACATATTTCTATTTAGAAAACAAGGAATATGAAATAGCACGTTATTTCACGTAGATCGAACAATAATATGCTTATTTTTTGTTTCTTAAGCTTATTTTTTTATAACAATGCTCTCTAAATATTATATATAAGTACATTGGCTTGTTATACTCTCGCAACCTGTTGCTACAGAGTATAATAGTTTTGTTCATCTAACTGTTGTTTGTATCACCTAAAACTAATCGAGTTAGATATAGGGTTATATATATATAATATATATAAATGATCAAGATGAAGAGACGAGTTGAAATGCGGGTGACTGTCTGTCCGTCCGTGCAAGCTCTAACTTGAGTAAAAATTGAGATATCATTATGAAACTTGGTAGACATGTTTCTTGGTACCGTGAGCCGGTTGGTATTGCAGATGGGCGTAATCGGACCACTGCCACGCTCACAAAACGCCATTAATCAAAAACAAATAAATTGCCATAACTAAGCTCCGCAATAAGATACAAGACTGTTATTTGGTACACAAGATCACATTAGGGAGGGGCATCTGCATTTAAAATTTTTTTTTAAAGTGGGCGTGGTCCCGCCTCTAAAAGGTTTAATGTGCATATCTCCTAAACCGCTAATGCTATAATAACAAAATTCACTGGAAGCTGGAAATGTTTTTAGCACTTCTATTGACGGTGTGAAAATAGTTGAAATCGGGTGGCAACTCCGCCCACTAAACACGCCAGAGACATTCAATTTTATCTCTGAGATGGTACCGCGTTCAAATTAGACCGTGGGCGTGGCACAGCCCACTTTTAGGTGAATACCCATATCCTGAGATCTGCTTAACCAATTTCAACAAAATTCGGTACATAACGTTATTTTCATATTTCTATATTATAGTGCGAAAATTGGCGAAATCGGACTACAACCACGCCTATTTCCCATATAACACCATTTTCAATTCCATCTGATTCTTTCACTTTCCACTATGCATATCAAGCAACAATGATTATATCGGGGTAAAACTTTGCGTGAATAATACGTTTAAAGTATGCCACCTTGTGACCAAAATTGTCTAAATCGAACCAAAACTGTTCAAGCCCCTAAGTACTAAATATGTGGACCCCAGTGCCTATATTTGACCTTCTACCGAAAATATCAGCCAACCCACAAAGAAATCTCAAACGAGTATACCATTTGACTTTGCGAGAGTATTAAATGTTCGGTAACATCCGAACTTAGCCCTTCCTTTCTTGTTTTTTTTTTATTTTGTTTCGGTATAAAGTTAAAAATATTAATTAAATATCATTACATAAAACTAAATAAATAATTAAAGCGCCTTATGAATTTTTTTAATTGATTAGGTTTTCCAATTAAGCGGGTCACCTGTAATTTAACGAATTGTTCAATTAAACGAGTATCGGCTAATTGATTGTACCAAAAATTGTGCAATTGTCCGGGGGAGTTGTGAACAATCACAAAATACGATACACTAATCACAGATTAGATCCGGAAATATGTCTGTCCGAGTAAAATAGTTCCCTCTGCGAATTTTCTTTTACGGCCCAATCGAGTAAAAACGGGTTCCACGGAATGGTAACTGGAGTTTTGGAAACAAAAAAGTCGCATGAGGGCAAATACGGTAAATACGATGGTTGATCGATGGTAGTAACCGAATTTTTGGTCTAAAAATCGTTCATAACTACAGCTCGGGGCGGTTTTTTTGCAAAAAATTCAGCTCTTTTGGAACAAGCCGAGCATTGACGCGTCTCATGCCCAAATTATCGGTCAAAATCAAACGAGCTGCCTCACGGCCGATGTTTACGTGCTATCTCTCTAACACTCGAATGACGATTTTCGAGCACGATTTTTGATATTATCGTCAGTGGTAAAGGCTATGTACCAGTCGTAGACTTGGGTTGTCGATAGAACAGATTCACCACAAGCCTTTTCTAACATTCACAACGATTCAGCACACGAAATTTGGTTCGAAACACAAAATTTTATGCATATTTTTTGTTCTATATTTTTTTTATTGTAAAAATTACGGGGAGAAATGGGATCTTGTCGATGTTAGAATTTAAGCCAATAGGATTATTTGAGCCGGTTTGATGAAGGAATAGAAGATGAATTAGCGTTATTGCTAAAACGCCAACTTCCATCTTCGCGATATTCGGACCGAACACGTTGAATACGGCGCACCAAACGCTTCAAAACTCCAAGGTAGAGTATCGCATTAACGTTTTGGCCGAGTGGAACAAATTCTTTGTGGACAATACCCTTAGAATCATAAAAACAAATCAGCATTGTCTTCACTTTTGACTTCTCCAGGCGCGATTTTTTGGGTTTCGGCTCATTTCTCATTTATGTCCTCACGACCACTTTGAAAACGTTGAAACCACTCGAGCACTCTGCTACGGGATAGGCAATCATCGCCATATATTTGTTTCATCAATTGAAACGTTTCGGTAAATGTTTTACCAATTTTAAAACAAAATTCAATGTTGGCTCTTTGTTCGAAGCTCATTTTCGCACCCATGACAAAAACATACTGACACTTAAAACGCAATAACTTTACTTCCAATAGATGAAATGTCATGAAATTTTTACTGGAAGTCGATAAAGGATAGAAGATTCTAACGCACTAGTCGACATAGAGATGGCGCCACTAGAGTTTACTTTGTTACTTTTTTACTGTTTACTTTGGAACGCACCTTGTACTTATAATAAAAAAAGTACTGAAATTCGCCGTTTTGACCAGAGAGTAAGTACCATTGAAATGTTGTGGATTGCCTTCAATATTTTTCAGGTTCCAACCACCCAAAATTTATTAAATGAAAATGTTTTTCAAATTTTAATTAAACATGATGGCGGTTATAAAACTGTAAGATCCTCTCCTGTGCACCAATTTGTGCTTACAAATTTCTTTATAACTCTATCGTCTGCCTATCAAGCTGGGTTGAGCTTATGCTAATACTCTACAAAACGGTTGATATTTAAAGAAGTTATCAAACCAACAAAGGTATGGTCAGAGCAGATGTTGATATCCAATGAATGTCTATATGGATGCATCTGCCTAATGTTCCTATATAATAGATTACATTAACAAATCAAAGAGAAACTACAGGTTCTTAAATGAAGCAAAATGCTGGAAATTACACAGTTAAATTATGTATGGTACAGTAATATCTGCGCACGAAACAGTTTTTGTTCCATTGGGCTCCATATTTCGGAAGGAAGTAATGCATAACTGTTCATAAATATGTACATCTCGAACTAAGGAACGTGGCTAAATGACCACTCAATCCCCCCTCACCGTAAGACACTGTCACACTACACCAATTCACACCACACATTCCACACCTACATACCATACATTCCACATCACTACACCATGCACCAACACGCACACAAATACAACTTAACACCGATCACACCACCATGAAGACATCAACAGATATATAAGGGACCAAAAGAAGGATCCCGCTTCCCTTTTTTTGCATCGACTCGCTAGCGATTAGTTCCTTGAGCACCCGCCGAAATCGACTCTCTTTCTTTTTCAATTATTTTGTGCTAAAGGTGAGTGAAGTGAAAATTAATTTATTAATTAAATAAACAGAACGTATTCCAATGGTAATACCCAGAGCGAAACTTGAGAACCTTCCTTCAGCTTCGACTGTCTGTCAAGTAGAAGAGCATAGCACAGTGATGAATGAAGAAGAAGAGAAGAAAGATAACTTCTCAAAAATTCCCATTACCGTAAGCCGTAGCAGTTTTGTTAAAAAACGTACTAAACCCTGTGTAGTGCGGTACAAAAGATTTATTCCTGCTGTGGCCTTAGTTGAGTACTTTCGTCAAATAGTATTGCTTTGCTATTCATCATAGAATGATCAGCAGCACCTTATTGAAACCCAGCGAACCTGCATAACATATTGTTTTTTTTTATTGAAAAGAATATGATATTTTTGAGCAAAAAGAACTTGAAAATGTGTTATAAATCCTTTATAATATATGTAAACTTAGAAGATCGAACGGCAAACTTAGCATGTTAAGGTGTACAAAAAAGTGCTCGATCTAGGTGTCATGCGACCTGTGCCACGGATCCCTCCGTTACAAGATAGACTTACTTGCAAAGCGAAGGCTATGCAAAAATAATATTAAAAAAAAAACTAGAAGTCCCGTGGAAGTGGGTAAACGCTGCGCTGACAGACCAGTCAAATCTTTAGCGGTCAATAGAAAGGCCATTTTATCCAGGCCTAGGGGCAACTGGATCTGGGCTACACCACCACTGCCGGACTAGATTATGAAACTCATTAGAGTAAAGGCTTTCGAAGGCCCTACAACTGAATATGGCATGCAGACAAAAAGGTCACGATACAGATCATGCTGTTATTAACAAAGAAATCCATTGTACCGATTGAACCGCTAGCGAAAAGTGCTGGGGAGATTAGCCATGGATTCACAAAGGTCAAAATTATGACATACAAATCGAATACCAATGCTATTAACCTCACTCCATATACCTAACTTCATATAATGAAATGGGAAATAAGAAAGGGAATTTTCTTATTTCTCTTTAACATCATTTTTTTTCGGTCGCAAGTTTAAATAAAATGTTCATTACAAGCATTCAATCATTGTATAAAAATACAAGTAACAAATCTAAAAATGTTCATCAAATCATATGTAGGAGAACGACCCCAGCAAGTCACGGCCAGCGTTGCCGTTTTGGTTCGATCGAACCAAAATTGATAGTTTAATTTGTCATTGGTAGTTTGGGTCGTAGGCAAAAGGTTTGCCTATCAATTCTTTTACTAGATGTACTAGATTTAAAATAAAAGTAATATTAATATTTGTTCGCTTAAAATTGCATACGTTCTTGCTTAATATTCATACCAAGGCTGTGTGCCAACGGTAACATTTTCCCGTGTTGAGTTGGGGTGAGAAAATGTCTCAAATGGAAACAAGTTTTACATATTACTGTGCCAAATGAAGAGTAAAATATTGACAGTTCAAATTCAAAACAAACTCAATTGCGTCGTTTGAATGTTTGCAATATGAATGAAATAGAAAAAATTCATTGTTTTAAAGATTTGTTATTAATTGGAAATTTTTGGCAACTTGCTAGACTACTACCACGCTATTTGCATTCGGTACACATCCATATGTACATATGTACATAATTATATCTTCATAAATACTCGTACATAAATACATTTACATTAGGATGTTTTAATCAACTACAAAAATATTATTTTTACTTAATTCTTTCATCTTAATTTTAGTTTACAATATTTCGGCTAAATGATAAAAATTCAAAAGAAGTCAAGAACTTTCCTTATTTAGAGTATCATTTCTGTATTGAATAGAATAAATAATAACATAAGCAAATGAATAATTACGAATTAATAACATATTTGCAATGTATGCAGCGGTTCTTTGTTTATTCCTGAATGCACATCTGTATTCATTTTTGTAAGTTGTCAAAATTTTATCTAGCTGGGGAGCTTCAAAATTTCACTTTTATCTGTCAGAATTTATACCGTTTGGCACACAGCGTATCTAAAAATAGTCATGAATGACAACCAAGTACAGAGTGTGGAAAATGAGAGATCTGACTATAATTGACAATGTTAAATAAAGATAAAAAAAATAGTCACTAATTTCATATTTGCGCGCATTTCTTCAACCTTATATTTTAGAGACTCATGGGCAAGTAAGTACTTGAGTTTTACTTTAAATATTTGTTAATATTACACTTTTCAACCATGAAGTATAACCATAAAGTTTTTAAACAACCGCAACAAATACGGACAAAACGATATCGACATCAGGTAAATTAAAACTTAAACGTTTGCGTCATGTCAATGAACAATTTCACAATTTTTCATAGTGATGAATGTCTGCCTGACCTTCAAAGCTAAAATTTCGAAGGGAGTGATTAAAAATATTCGATTGGCTTGAAGAAAAGGAAGATCGTGCCTTAGAGGTCAATTAAATTTAGCTACATACATATTAAATTGACATCTAAGGTTTATATGTTTGTATATATTTTTCCAAATGTGAAGTGAAATAGAAGCCAATGTTTTGATGATAATAAAGTTTGGTAGTTTTGCAACAGATTAGGTAGACATTATAGTACCCACAGATTTTATCAAGTGGCAACACTGGTCACGGCTATCGAAACTACAACACATTGAAAGAAGAAACTAACGCATACACACTGTGCAACTCATGCCTTTGCGTAAGAAAGGGATGAAAGATCACAAAAGTTTCGGTTAGAATTGTTAATATGAAAACAACTAAATGAAGAAACTCAGTGCAAAAAATAGGAATTCGGCACGGGTTTTCTACGAAAATTATACTACTAAAATGCCCAAATGCTTCAAAAAATAAGTTGTAGGATGTACATGTGTAATGTTATTAATTTTATACAATAACTTTATAATTTTGAATTCGATCATAAATAACGAATATTTTTGTAGCAGTCTTTATAAACTATAAACTAACTATAAAAATGTTTCGTATGTTTTTGTAGGTATTTGTATATATATATATTGTATTATATATTTTATATATATTTTAAACAACATAATTGTTTAATGCCTTCGCCAAGATTTGATGGTGGTATTACTAAAGAAGATTTCTCCTTCACTTCTGAAAAAAAAATATAGTAATTGCCAAGTAGTCCTCCCCCTGAATCTATAAATTTTCTATCAAATATAAAATAAATGCATACACAACGCTTTGATTACTCTTGCCATAAGAACAGGTTTTCCCAATTATTTGAAAAAATTGTGAACATAGAAGTGTATTTTTTTTGTGAATATTGTAATTCCGACTTGATAGAATGTCTATTCATCGGTAACGCGTCTACATTGCAGCCTCAGAGGTGATGAGGAAAACCAATAAATATGCAATAAACTTTGGTTTGGAAAATATTCTTGAAAATGTTGATTAATATTTGCTATTAAAAATACGTTTCCACAATAAAAAATATTTTTTATATTCTGTTTTAATTTAAATCGCTGTTTCAAAAAAACCCAGTGTTTCGATCAGATGATTTCAGCTGCGTTAAAATTTTGAGATTCTTTTGTTACTTGTATACCTATGCAATAGTTTATAGTTTTATGTTTTTATACTCTTGCAACATGTTGCTACAGAGTATAATAAATAGTTTTGTTCACCTAACGGCTGATTGTATCACCTAAAACTAATCGGGATAGATTTGGAATTATATATGCATAAATGATCAGGAAAATAATTTTTTCGCCTAACGACTGTCTGTGCAAGCTATAACTTAAGTAAAAATTAATGTATCGTAATCAAATTTGGTACACGTGGTAAAAATATAAAACTGTAATTTGGCACAGAGAATCGCAGTAGCAGAGGGCACCTGTGGGCTAAATATTTTGAAAAAATGGTCCTGGGCCCGCCCTCTCACAAGCTTTATGTACATATCTGCTAAACCATTCAAGTTATTATAATCAAATTCGCTCGGGACAAATTCCATAAATGCCTCTACCGACACTGTAAATATGAAATCGGATGATAGTCCCGCCCACTCCCCATATAACGGCTTTGTTAAAAACTAGGGCTTTAAAGGAGCAATTGTCAAAACTTGACGATGGGCGTGGCACCTCCCACATTTAGGCGAAAATCCACATCTAGGGATCTGTTGTTGTTGTAACGGTTTTCTAGTCCCCGCTTGGGTGGCAAGTTATAGTTTGGTGGTCGTCGAGGTCATCTAACAGGAGGCTCAGGAAACGAGCTGTTTCGACGGGGTCGGACCATAGGGAAATGGGTGTTGAGATGAGTGAAGTTCGTTGTGCATGCAAAGAGGTGGTTAGTGTCATGCGAAGACTCGTTGCATGCAGGACATATATTGGGTATGTCGGGGTCTATTCTGGATAAGTAAGAGTTTAACCTGTTACAGTATCCAGAACGAAGTTGCGCGAGGGTCACTATAGATTCACAGGGCTTGTGTAAAGTTCTTTGCGTCCGAAGTCCGGTCGGCGTACTGTCTAATGTCGTCGACGTAATCAAGCAAGGACCTCTTTATGTTCCTAGGAGGCGGTTCCGCTTCAACATCGACAGTCGGGTCGAAGTAACTGGAACGGACCCGGATTTTATCCCGCCAAGGACTTTTAACTCGGTACCATTCCTCGAAATTACTTCAGGAATCTTTTCTGCCGCTACAACAACAACAACTTTCCGTATAAAACTCTCAGAAAGAATCTGCCTTGCTCCCTTTTGCGAATCATTGTGGCAGGATACCCTAAAAGTCTTTCAACTTCTTTGTAGGTTTTACCAATGTTTATGAGAGATTGAATCCATTCTCGTTCTTCTTTACTTGTGTTTCCCGCGGCCCACCAAAAGATGCATAGTCATATTTCTTTTGCTTTTTTCATTGGATAACATATATAAGAACAGCAAACTTACTTAGTATGATAAAATTAAATATTTTGTCGTAAAAATAATCTGTTTGCATCATCTCACCGTTCACTACTATTCTATTGCTTGCTCATAAAAACAGATATCGCAACACAATTAGCTGTAAAAAAAGGTAACGGTATTTCACTCTTGCTGTTGTGTATAACAGGGTTGTTGCGTAGTGAAGTGTTAGTACATATAAAAGTGAAAAATATAAGTGCATAATTCATTTTAAATCGAAAACATACGTACTTTAAATAGTTGAAATTTTCAACTTTAAACGTAAATTTCTCGAAAACTGTTAGTTCCCCCTCGGATATATCTGTATATATTCTTGATCTGGAGGATCTCTTCTATCTGCCCATACCCATTTTATCCCCGAAATCCTGGGACGGTATTCTAAAGTTTTACCAAAATTTCCCCCCACGGGAAAACTTTGGTATAACGTCCCACGCTTTCGGGAATAAAATGGGTATGGGCGGATAGATTAGATCCTCCAGATCAAGAATATATATAGATATAGCCGCGGGAAACTTATAGTTTTCGAGATATTTGGGTTTAAATTTCAATAATTAAATTATTGTTAAATACTATTATTTCTGACAATAGCAAAAGGGTTGCAAAATTTCAAATAACCAGTGTTACCTTATCGACATCTTTTGTAATTGAACTGAAAGAAATTAAAACAGATAATACCCCAAATACAGAAATCCAAAACCTAGAGAAATAAACTATTACAAAGCATTGATGTTAAGTATTATGTTATACCCTCTATGACAATATTACTTTTATCTTGTAGAACTTTTTTTTGCGTTGGCGGCCTTCGGCCGCGCTTTAAAAAAATAACCCTGGTCGGTCCAAAACCGGGGTGTATCAAGGTTTTTTTGCGCAGAACTCCTTTTTGGGTTGGCGGCCTTTGGCCGCGCTTCAAAAAAATAACCCTGGTCGATCCAACACCGGGGTGGATCAGGGTTTTTTTGCGCAGAACTTATTTTTGCGTTGGCGGCCTTCGGCCGCGCTTCAAAAAAAATAACCCTGGTCGATCCAACACCGGGGTGTATCAAAGTTTTTACGCGCAGCAATTCTTTTTGCGTTGTTTCCTGTATCTAGGGTACAATCCCTCTGTTTATTTTATTTTTATTCGTTTACAAAATATATTAGTATGGCAACACTGATGTTTTGACATTCACAACCATTTTGTTATTGTCAAAATTAATAAAATTGAAGAATGATTTAAATATTGAAATAAAGCTATTTTTGCAGCATCTAATATAAAAAAAATTTCTAAAAACGAATTATTCAAGTGTTAGTGGATATAAAAGTATAATTCATTTTAGATCGCAAAAATACGTACTTTAAATAGTTGAAATTTTCAACTTTAAACGTAAATATCTCGAAAACTATAAGTTTTCCGCGGCTGTATCTATATATATTCTTGATCTGGAGGATCTCCTCTATCCGCCCATACATTTTATCCACAAAAGCGTGGGACGTTATTCTAAAGCCGACCCTCCCCCACTGCCGTTACACTTCAGAGAATATAACTAAAATAATGACCGGCGGCAATATCATAATAGAAAAAAAATTTTAGGCAATTTCTCTCTTTGCAAATATGCTCTACCATTTCAATGCTCGCAACTATATACATATATACAATACACTTCTATACGGAAAATATATTCATTATCAGTATTTGCCATTGACAAGGTTACGAATCGTGGGTCACTTTTAGGATGTTTTGAACTAGCACATGTTATTTTATTCACTTTAGGTTTGATTATGTACATCTTAATGAATAATAGAAATTTTGTAAAACAAAATTATTTTCGTATTATACATTGGAACCTCGTTGCGCTTAGCTCGTTCATGCATTTTTCTACACAAATAAATTTAATTATTAGAAACCAAGAACTTTGAATACCTTACTTTACAGTGACTTAGTATTAACAAACACCAATATATAAAAGTTTTTATAAAACTTCTAAGGCTTTTAAACGCTTTGGGAAATGAGCGTAAATTACTTAATTTTTTTATGATGATAGAGAATTTTTTCACGAACTACATATGGATGTATACACAAATTTAAAATTTATATATTTGAGAATATCCAACACACGAACCGAAATCACTATTCGAATTAAAAATCTCATTGATTCCTCTGCTAGCTGTTCACTTTTCAATTCTTACTTGTACTATTTTTTTTCTTTACAGGTTTTTCTACACAAGAAAAAAGTTTTCAAAATAAGACAGAATAACATTATAATAACAAAACACTATACAACAATTGCTACGGTAACTCTATAAAACTAGTAGTATCGTTTGTTAAACCCTGTTCAAACGCGGAAATTTGGTTTTAGTACGGCATCTCATAGTTTGCGAGAGAATGAAACGATGATAGCCTTCTCCTATCATCGAGTTCTAACTTATACTAACATCGGAATTCAGTACTTTGATACATTCACACGTTTATAAATTTGAGATTTTAAACTAGAGACAATTTTTGTCACTCGAGACGAATTTGCAATTCAGTACGTGACACAAAACTCTCAGTTGAAAACGAACAGATCTAATCAGTTGTTACATTTCGTTATTTAGAGATATATATTGTGGCGAACACGAGTACCAGAACAAATCAGAATTGACGATAAACTGCCAATAGACACAGTTTTAATTACAGTGTTGCCGTGTAAAGAGCAATTAAGCTATAAGCAATAAGTTGTAAGTTCGAATAGCGAGCAATAAGTGTTAAGTTGTTGGAATTGGAATAAAAGATAAGTGTATAGCATTAAATTGGAACTTTAATTTAACAATCCAGTTATCGAACTCAAGAGTGAGTTCTAGTTAGACGATTTATCGAGAAATCCGTTGCAATTGGTGTCAGAAGTGGGATTGTCAAATAAATTCCCAAGGAGATAATTATTTGAAAATGGCCAAGTTTAAGATTCCACTACTGAAAAAGGAGCTGGAGCAACGTGGTTTGGCGATTTCACATGGAATTAGAGGAAGAGACAACAAAGATAGAAGAAAAGGAAGAGGCTCAATGCTCGTCAAAGATTGTGGACATAAACATGATTTTTGCTGCAATATCGCAGATGGGGAAAGAAATGTCGACACAATTTTAAGAGCAGGATACACGTATGTCTCAAATGGAAACGCGATTGTCAACGCATTTGGAAGAGCAGTTCGTAGCGCAAGATGCACGTATATCAGCACAGGTATCCTTACAGTTAAAAGAGCAGTTCTCAGCGCAAGATGCACGTATATCAGCACAGGTAACCTCACAGAAAGAGCAGGATGCACGGATATCGCAGGTGACCTCACAAATAGCAGAAGTGTCCTCACAGATTTTGGAAGAGCGGGATAATATTAAAACTGAAGTGGATGAATTGAGAGATCGTCTCCGTGAGCTACAATTAAATCGGCCAATTATGTCGTCAGCTTCTGCCAAGGTAAAACCTCCTTCCTTTTATGGCATCTTCAAGTAATTGGACGGTTTGGTAGTGAGCACAGAAAGCAGATCTTTCAAATCGAGTTGCAAAATCGCCGCCAGAAAGCCAATGAGTCTTTGCAGGAGTTTTCTACAGAGATTGAGAGGTTAACTTACTAAGCTTATGCAGATAAATCCGTGAAATACATTGAGGACACGAAAATTCAAACCTTCGTCAATGAAATACGAGATAACACTACACGATTCGCTGCATTAGCATGTTCAAAATTGACGTTTGCAGAATGCTCTGACACAGGAAACTGCATCTCTGCTTTGCAATCAAACATTTAAAGCTAACAAAGTAGAAATAGAGGAACACACTTGGGTGAACCAATTACTTGAAAAAATTGACAACATGCAGAAACACTGGAAAAATCTACGGAAGCGCATAAGAAAAATTATGGTGTGCTTAAATGCTTCAACTGCAGAAAAAGTGGCCATATTGCACGCAACTGTAACCAGCCCAATAATCCAGTTGGACGTAAACGCAAAGCTGAGGAAGATCAAGCAAATTTCAAATCAAACCAATCGTTAAAATAAAGCGAGCCAACCGAAAAGGGCAAGGGCTGGCTCCCGCAAGCATATGCCCTGTAATCTCCATTTCCCAATAAGCAGGAATACGAGTAACGTTACCGTTAGTGGATGGTAGACGGTAAAAAGCGCATACTGACTGTGGATAGGTGCGCATCACATTCCATAATTCGTACTGATCTGGTTGATAAAGAAGTGAGACCATTAGCTGGGGCAAAGTTGCGTACTGCAACTAATTCGAAAGACAGCCCGTTTACACAATTTTATAGTGGCAGATATCGTCGACGAAGTCGTAATTGGAGAAGACTTTCTAGCGAATCAAGGAATCAAAATTGACATGAAGAACAGGATTATGACTTATAGAAATATGGAAGTGCCACTTATGTTCGGTTACGATAATAAGTACAACGTTAGACGAGTGATAACAACAGAGAGCCAGCAGATCCCAAAAATATCAGAAGAACATGGGATAAACAAGTGGTGGATTGTTGAGGCCACAAAAGAATCTACACCAAACTTACTTATAGGCAATACCAAATCTCCAAAGGCGCTATATTAGGGCAGTGTCAAGAGATTGAGCTGTGATAAATTGCGAAATAGCTCTTGAGGAAGATTCCATGGACGAAAACGACATATCGAGCGAAATTAACGAATGGATCGATTAAATAGAGGCAAACCATCAAAATATGGCTAAACAATTTCTTATCAGTTACTCATGCATATTTAATAAAGACGATGCCAAACCAGGAAGAACCATAGTTGTGAAACATTTTATTAACACAGGTGATGCAAAACCAATCCGAGTTGTAAGCCATACCAAACGTGAAATGAGCAAAAGCGGCATAGTCGAACCATCAGAGAGTCCATAGAGCACACCTGTAGTACTTGTGAAGAAGAAAGTTGGCAACATGAGATTCTGTGTGGACTATAGAAAGTTTAATGATGTAACGAAAAAAGACAGTTATCCACTACCTAAAATCGATGACACGTTGGACTCGTTATCAGGCCCAAAATGGTTCTCAACAGTTGATTTGAAAAGTGGTTATTGGCAAGTGGAGGTAAATAAAGAAAACAAAGAAAAGGAGGCTCTAGGCGTTGGAGATGGTCTATGGCAATTTACAGTAATGCCCTTTGGATTATGTAACGCTCCAGCTATTTTTGAGAGACTAATGGACCAGGTGTTAAAAGGATTACTCTGGAAGACCTGTTTGGTATACCTCGACGATATCATCGTGTTGGGTAAAAGCTTCGATGAACACCTTAAGAACTTGGAAGAGGTTTTCCAGCGGATAGCTAGCGCTGGTCTAGAGCTGAGTCCAAAGAAGTGTTCCCTTTTTAAAAAGGAAGTAAGCTACTTAGGACACAAAGTGACAACGGAGGGCATTTGCACAGCTAATGAAAAGATAGAGGCAGTAATAGATTGGCCCACTCTTTAAAATTTACATATATTGCGGAGTTTCCTTGGACTGTGTTCTTATTATGGACGTATTTAATTCGTTCCAAATTTTGCCAGCGTAGCTAGTAGCCTCCATGAACTCACGAAAAAGAACAGAGTTTTTGAATGGAATAAAGAACAGGAAGTGGCTTTCCAAACTCTGAAGAAACGGTTAAGTACTGGGCCAATGTTAGCATACCCGGTCCCAGGATCAGCATTTATTTTGGATACGGATGCTAGTGGATTTGCAGTAGGAGGCGTTCTATCACAAGTCATTGATGGACATGAGAAAGTGCTCGCGTATTACAGCCAGACCATAAGCAGGCCAGAGAGAAATTATTGTGTTACTCGGAGAGAATTACTGGCGTTGGTGAAGAGCATCAAGTATTTTCATAAAAACCTTTGTGGCCAGCGATTTCGGGTGAGGATGACAGATCATGCTGCATTAAAATGGCTTTTACAATTCAGGAACCCAGAAGGATAGTTGGCACAATGGGGTAAGAGACTCCAAAGTTACGACTTCTCTGTAGAACATCGTAAAGGTAGTAGTCATGGAAATGCTGATGCCATGTCCCTTCGTCCCTGTAATTTAGAATGTAGACATTGCTTTTAAGCTGAGGCTAAAGAAGACATTATAGATGTCCGATTAATGACTATAACATTAGACTTGGAAAATGTCAGCAAGAAGATCCAGAGAAGAAATAGCTGCAGAAAGCCCAGTCGCAAAGGCTTATTGGGTCCAATGGAATAGTTTGAAGTTAGTGTCTGGCTGCTTGCATCGCGTATGGGAAAGCGAAGATGGCCAAAGTTCCCGAAATGTGATGATTGTTTCGAAGGTAAGAATTCCCAAAGTTGTCAACGAGCTGCACTACGGTCCAAGGGAAGAACACATGGGTATCACTAGAACTTTGGAGAAATTAAAAGAAAATTAAGATTTTATTGGGGTTGTTGTCATCAATCAGTTACGGAGTGAATCGCCAATTGTGTCGAGTGCACTGCTGCTAAAGGGCCGAGGTGCAGAAGTCATGGTCAGATGAAGCACTATAATTCAGGTGCGCCGTTTGAGCGAGTTGCCATGAATGTAGCTGGTCCATTTCCTATCAGTAAATTAGGAAACAAATATGTTTTGGTATTTATGGAATATTTCAGCAAATGGCCATAGGTATACGCAAATCCTAACCAAGAGGCAGGAACAGTAGCGAATGTATTCATCATCAGTTGGGTATAGAGATATGGTGTTCCAATAGAATTACATTCTGGCCAAGGGAAAAATTTTGAATCAGCTCAAATGCAGGAGATATGCCAGAAACTGGGTATCCGGAAAACCTGTATAACTGCACTACATCCGCAGTCCGATGGCATGGTGAAGCGATTCAATCGAACTTTGAAAGAATATTTGAGAAAAGTTATGGACAAGTATCAAAAAGATTGGGATACCCATATATCCTTGTTCCTGATGGCATATCGGTCTGCTGTACAAGAAACAATGGGGCAAACTCCAGCAAGGGTAATTTTTGGTAATGATCTTCGACTACCGATTGATTTAAAATTTGGAATTAACGCCAACGGAGGAAGGAATGCTAAGGAAGTCAACATCATCCTAGAAGATGAAATGAGGGATATACATGCTATGGTGAAACAGAGAACCAAAATTATGAGCGATAAGATGAAAGCAAAGTACGACAAGGCAATGGACTCTGAGTTTTTTATTGAAGACGATTGGGTATTGTTATATAACGCACAACGAAAGAAAGGGTTATCTCCCAAATTACAGTGTAATTGGAAAGGACCATACCAGGTTAAACGACTCAACGATGTAGTGTATCGCATACAGACTATTGGAAGACCAGAAATAAAATGAAGATGGTTCTTCTGGAACAGCTTGCAGCGTTTGGTACCGCAAATATGTATAATCGGGACGATCAGACTTAGGTAGAACACGAATACCAGAACAAGTCAGAATCGACGATAAACTACCAGAAGCAACTTGACAGCGAGTTCGTAGTTGTCAGAGTGTTCTAGAAGCGAACTTTTGTTAACACAGTTCTAATTAGAGTGTTGCCGTGTAAGAAGCAATTAAGCTATAAGCAATAAGTTGTAAACTCTAATATCGAAATAAGTGTTAAGTTGTTGGAATTAGAAACGAAGATAAGTGTATAGCCATTAAATTGGGACTTTTATTTAACGGATACATGAATAATAATATTTAATAATCTTAGTAAATGATAGATATTTTAATTTGAATTCCCAAAAGTTATTATTTTGTCCGATCCGGCTACAATGGAGAATGTTATATAAAACGCTATTTTTGAGGCGCTCTCACACTGTAAAGAGTTGGGCATCCCATTATCCCTGGATTTTACACTTGCCTCTAGTCGCAGTTCTTTTTTTAATTTTCGTTGCAAGTGCAAAAGGATTCTGCTTTGAGAATCTTACTAGGTGCTTAGTCTCTCTGTCTGTTTTTGCCGGAAGACGGCCACGTATGTCATGATTCGATTTGTATTTTAAGATATTTCGAATAATCGTCGCCTGAATAAATGTTCAACTTTTAAGACCGCGCTAATAAGATGTGCAGTATTTAATTCGTCCCATTGCTGACAAAATTTTAACCAGATTTTTACAAAATGAAAAAAAAATACGGTAATTGTTCAGAACAGCAGCTATTTTGGAAAAAATGCCCAATTTTGTTGATAAATATCTTAAATTTTTGTTCTTCAATATACTGAAACAATATATAGTGCGCATCCCTATTTTTATGTTTTCTGTAGTAAAAACAACGACGGCAAGGTTATGTACGATATACATGGCACCACTGTTTTAAATTCCATTGCGCGATATTGATACATGCAGTAATCGTTTTCAAAATATCGATACTCTCGATATTTGAGTCTGATTGAGAATCGATAAGAATCAGAAAAATATGTAGTGCGTCAAACTCCCCTTCATGGTATAAGAGAGTAACGCATTCACAATACTTTCGCCACCTTTGAGGCGTACGTTCACAATAAAACAAACATGGTGGCCATGGTGAGTTAGGGTGACGAGGGTTTAAAACGCGTTGCTTATAGCAGAAAACGCCTAAATAATTATTTATATATATATTGAATTTTGGTTATTAATTGATGTTTAATGCTAACAATATATGATATTATACCGTGTTGATATAAGTAAATATGCTGCATATATTTAAGCAATTTAAATAACTTATTAATGGACAAACTGAAAATTCAATTTAACTATGAGTGGACGGGAAGAAATAACTATTGTAACAGAATTTGATATTATAAGTAATAAGAACTTATATAATCAAAAAAGTAAAACTTATCATTGTCATACAAGTGATAATAATTCATTTAAACAATAAAGCAAAATTTATCATTGGACTTATATCAAGAAATAGTTACTGTGCCGATATTTTCTTTAATTTAAGTAAGATTTATTTAATCACAAATTTTATTTACGTTTTATATATCAGGAATTAACGGTGGATTTATGTACAATAGTTTATTACAACTTTTGACATACTAAATTGCTATATTTTTATATAGTTTTTAGTTTAATTTTTAAATATTAAGACTTCTAAAATAAATTATTTTTTGAAGTTGCAATATCTTTATAGTATAAAATACGGGAGGGATATCAGGTAGCTGTCTCTGTATTTCAGCATGTAGCGATTATAATATGTACAATATTTTACATATAACTCTTTACATAAATAAATTACCATATTGTTATATAGTTCTAAGTTAAGTTTTTAAATATTATATATAGACTCCTAAAATAAATTATTTGTTGAAGTTGCAATATCTTTATAGTAGTAGTATCGGTAGATATATTGGTTTTTTAAAAAGTAATTTAAAATTAGCTTGCGCAACACTGTTACGCAATGCTCATTGGCAATACTGGCATTTGAATTTATTAACAACTTTTAGTCAAACGCCCTAAACACATCTGCATATTGATTAAAATTCTTGTGTGAGCAGTTTTATCAGGAACAATATTAAATATTAATTATTTTACGAAGATTGTGTTGCAAATTTATAAACATTGCCCTCAGTTTCGTTGAATAAGCATTTTCTGCATCCCGTTATTTGACATGGTTGCTTATTGCACCTTACATTTTTCTGTGGTGAATATTTATTAAGTTACCACAGTTAAAAAAAGGCATAAATATATATCGTAATTATTCTAAAATTTGCCAATAATAGCCGCTCCTTTAAGAACATATATTAAAATAAACTTATTTTATTTTGAAAACATATTAAGGTATTACATATAACCAATATTTTTTGGACAACTTTTTTATAAATTAAAAGAAAATAGCAAGATGCAACCATTTTCCGGTTAAAAGTCGGCCATCTTGGCTGTCTGTAGAAACTCAACCCCTAGGCGGACTTAACGTTTCTCCATGGACCCTTCTCAGCTGTAGCTTTGTTTACATCGATCATGAGGAAAAACAATAAATATGCAATAAACTTTTGCTTAGGAAAGACCTTTAAAAGTTTTGATTAATGGTTTCCATAGCAACTACCTGTTCACAAAAAAATTATTAAATTATTTCTTTTTATTTACATCTCTGTCTCAAATAGACAGATTTCGTTCAAGTGATCTCAGCTGTGTTACACATAGGAAAACAGCTGATTCTTTTGTTATTTTTAGGATTATAAATTGTTAAACATAAACTTGGAAAATTATGAAGTCAATGAACCTACAAGAGCGACATAATTATATTTTGAAGAAATTCATTATTTCTGATAAGTCCTCCAAAGGCAAGAAGAATTATCAGGACATAGATATAATAAAGCAACATCATCGATTTTTATGGGATGACAACGAATTACTTGATAGTAATAATTCATGGAAAGTTCATATGGCTAGACGTTACTATAACAAATTATTTAAGGTAATAAAATATAAACTAAGTAAAACATTCGGAACACTATAAACCTTTTAATTTGTCAAGGAATATTGCATAGCAGATTTAACTCGACATAAAGAAAATAAAGTTGCATTGCGTTGGCGTACCAAGGATGAAGTAGTTATAGGAAAAGGACAGTTTCAATGTGGAAGCAGAAAATGTGAACAAAGAGAAAATTTGCGCAGTTGGGAAGTTAATTTTGCTTATCATGAGCAAGGAGAGTATAAAAATGCGTTGGTGAAGCTGCGACTATGCCCCACTCACTCAGAGCAGTTAAATTACACTTCACGAAAACGGGAAGTTAAGCGCTTAAAAAAGTTTACTGCAACAAAGGAACAAATACTACGAAAAAATCCAGAAAAAGCCCAAGTAGCGAGTTCTTTTCAAAACATTGGAGCTGTACCAGATGGAAAAAGTGAAAACGAGGATAAGATTTGGAACCGCAAAGCAGATGTCGAATTGGAGCAACCATCCCGTGAAATTGACTTTGAACGTTATTTAGAAGATCTTCTCTTATAGTTTATGATTTTATAACATATCGATTAATGAAATATCTTAACTCAAACTTGAAAATTGTTGGTAAAACTACCATGACTGCCGTTCCTAAATAAAGCGTAGAACGGCGCGTTTTTTACCGCTTAGCGTTAACGCCGACGCGACATCTTTAAATAAAGCGGCAACTTTACATAAATTCTAAAATTAGTACAAAAGAAATTAAATTTAATAATAATACTTACATCCATTTGTACAAGCATTAAACATCGGTCGTCAAGAATTTTTTCAGAAAAGTTACAATTTCTCGGTTTTCTGCTGTCAACTTTACTTCACTTCTTAACGCGCTGTCAAAATCGGATTTTTCAACGCTTAGCTTTTATTTATGTATGCGCCATACAAAATATATGGAACTGAGGAATTTTTGACAGTAATTTACCGCTGCCGCTTTTATTTAAAGACGGCAGTAGAAATGAAAACACGGCTACGACAGTTTACTACACTATTTAAGGATTTTTGAGAAATATGTGCATGAATATATTCATAAACATTAATAAATACAATATTTGTTTAATTTTATTATATTTAATTAATTAAGTTATCAAAAAAAGTAGTTAAACATTGATACCCTGTCTTCGGAGTTTCATTAGCCATTCGGAATCTTGGAATTGAAGGCCCTTCTATCGGTATTCGGTTAGCAAAAAGTTGAGATCCCAATATTAGCTGTAGAAGTCGGGACGAGCATATGGCAGAAATGGAAGTGCCATTAATGCACATTTGATCACACATATAAAACATAGGTAGTATCTCCGAACAGGTAAGTATGTCAAGTGTCCTAAAATTGATACCAATTGAAAATCAAAATTTGTGTAATTCAACTTTTTATTATATTAAAAGACGTTCTAAAATATATTGACAATTATAATAAGTTTTATTTAATAAAATACCATTGGCCTAGTGTGCAAATTTATACAGAAATGTATAAAACTGTCTTCTCAAAAGAAAAAATTATAAATGATACATAATAGTTGTTCCGAAATTGCTTTATATTTATTTTTGTACCTTTGTTTTATAATGGTAACTCTTTTGCGAATATATATACACACCTTACTGTGCTAAGACCTCAATTTTCATTAAAAAAAAAAAAACTGAACTTATGGTATAAAATTAATGACGGAAACTGTTTAAAATTGGATTAGGCATTATGTGGTTGCTTGTAGCTCAATAAATTGTTTAAGTACATATATGTATATTAACAAAACTTCAACTACATAAACTTTTAAACATTACTTTTGCATTTTTCAAGGACTTCGGCAAAGGCTTGTGGTGGTTTAAAGCTTAAAACTTCTGTAAATACAAGTTCCTTCCACTTTTCAACTGGCAAATCCATATCTTCGAAGCTTTGATCATACAATGGAGAGGTTTGCTCATCACTAGGATCATGATACTTTTCCATATATGGGTGAGCTAGAGCTTGTTCAGCTGTAATTCGTTTTTCAGCATCCAACTCTAGCATTTTTTCAAGTAAATCTATTGCCGATGGATTAGCGAAACGGAATACGTCTCTAAAGTTTCGACGAGCCATTTTTGGCAATGCTCGTATATAGTTTCGAGCACTTTCAGAGGAAATTTTTTGCATAAAATCTTCTGTAGGTGTACCAAGTATCTCCATAATTAGATTAAGTTGATGGATATGATCCGTACCAGGAAATAAGGTACGCCCGGTAAGAAGCTCTGCCATAATACAGCCAACTGACCAAATGTCTACGGTTTGATTATAATGCATCCAATTGAGCATTATTTCGGGAGCTCGATACCATCTGGTGGCCACATAACCCGTCATTTCACTTTCTGCAGGCCTTGCTAAGCCAAAATCAAGTATTCGCAACTCACAATCTTCATTTACGGCAATATTTGAAGGCTTTAAATCACGATGTATTATACCAGCACTATGAATATATTTCAAGCCACGTAAAATTTGATACACCAAAAATTGGACATGGTCATCAGAAAGTTTTTGGGTGCGAATAATATTATTTAAATCAGCATCCATTAAATGTGTTACTAAATACACTTGTTGAAAATTTTCCAAAGAATTTGGAGGCTGTCCGGGATGAAATACATCCAATAAGCCTATGACATTTTCATGGTCCATATGTTTGAGCAATCGCAACTCGCGATAAGTTCGTTTTGCATGAACAGCCGACTGAAATGGACGTGCTAACTTCTTTATGGCCACCTTCATGCCTGTGTTACGTACAATTGCTTTACATACTTGTCCATATGCGCCAGAACCGACTGCTTGAAGCTGTTGATATATTTCAGGTATTTCCCACTCTGTTCGATTTATATCAAGTTTATAAAATTTAACCATTTTTAACAATAGTATGTAATTCGTTGTTGACAATTTCTATTCCTTTCATTAATTCAATTTCACGAATTACCTAATAGACGTTGCACACTAAATATGGAATGGAAATGAAACAGGCACATACAAAGAAAACAGAATTTCGGAACAGTGGTGCAATAAAAAGAAAAGATTTCTTTACAATATAAAAGAAAAGTTTATTGAAATTATCATTACAAATATGGAAAATGTATATTTTAGGTCCCCCAACTAAGGAGGCCTTAAAAATAAATTTTTTTTTTTAATCGTCTTACTTTTACGCGTAGATCCATGAGCGGAAAGTGAATTTTTTCAATAATTTATGTATATATTTACAAATATATTTAACGCACTTTGCACATCTTTTGGAAGTCAGTTAGTTGCTGTTGTTGTTGTAGCGAAAAAATTCTGCAGAATTCAGATCACTTAGCTGTAAGCACCAGTTCAGCGAGTTAAACACTTTCTTGTGAAAAAAATACAGCAGAAATGTAACGGTCACAATTTCTTTTGCGCCGCGATCTGATGGTATGGACGAATATCGGAGATCGTCGAGCTCCTTTCCGCACTGTCGGCCTTCGGCCTCATTTCAAAAAAATAACCCTGGTCGGTCCAACACCGGAGTGTTCATAATTCAATCGCGTCAAACTTCTTTCTGAAGAGGCGGCACTTCAAAAAATTACCCTGGTCATAATTTAATCCTGGGGTGTTCACAATTTAATCGCGAGTATTTACATTGTATTCGGAAATTTAAATGTTATTACACCTTTTTTGTATGTAATATGCATACATGAAAGCAAATATGTATAATATACCTATTATGATAACGCCGTCTATGCAGTTGATTTTTCCTATAAAGTGTACAGCTGACAGCTGTCATTTCATATTTTGGTTAGAAACTAAGCAAGACTAATTCCTTCGAAAAGTTTACCAGAACTTAACTGGCAGATCATTACTAACCATATATTGCCGATAAAGTTCTGGTTAAACCAGAGAATGTAAATAAATAGAGAAGGAGCAAATGTTAAATGAAATCTTTTTGAGTACTAATTTGTAATTCCACATGAGGGAACATCGAAAAATATAACTTCGAAAAAGAAAAATACACCACACAATATGCGAAATGCTATAAATAGACACAACGAATATTCCTATATGAAAAATCGTTGCGCATACCTATTTAGATTTATGTTTTCAATTTCTATGATATTACAAATTAATAATTATGAAAAGCCTTTTGAATTAAAAAGGAGGATTACTGGTAAAAACCCCAGAGTTCATAATAAAATAACCTTTGATATGCAATTTTTCTAACTTTTGCATGTGCGTTGCGTAAGCAATATACTTATTAAACAAATGATAATAATAAAACTGTTGCTAAGCGGTCGCGTTTCCATTTATATAGTGGCTTAGGTCATAGGCGTGAAGGAGTTAAACTCAATCCGAATACGAGCATATAAGTTTGAATCTAAACCCAAGTAAATTACATTTTATTTAATTTTTTTATTTTATTAATTGGAGTCTAAGCATATCATAATTCAATTTCTTTAATAGCATATTTTACTTCCTGATATAATTAAAATATGTTCATATATTTAGGTTTATTGAATATTTCCTTATTATGCGTATTTACACAAATGTGATAATCACACATACATTCTAAAATACACGTACGCTGATGCTTGCTTCTTCTTGCCCCGCACTAACAATGACTTTTGTCAACACTTTTTGCTTTTTGCGAGAAGCAGGTTGAACGATCACAAGCAAGGAGGAGTTGGGGCGCACTGCCACATAATTATTTCAGATAGTTTTTATTAATCGAATTTATTTTAAAAACGATTATAAGTATGAATTTACGTGTATTTATATTTTTACGTTTATTATTATTATATTACAAAAAAAAGTCATAATGCGTCCGTATTTTTCAATACTCATTAAGCAACATATTAATATATTATGAAACAACGAAATAACGGCGAGTTCGCGCGGACATTGTGTTGTTGAAACAAACCAAATGACGATTTTGTCGACAAACATACAAACATATATACATATGAGCTCGTATACATATTGACGCCGAATTTTGCGCATCGTGGCGGAGTTGACAAAATTTGTTTCAAGGGACAATTTTACGACAATGACGGTCGGCTATGTTGTCTCGTTTGTCCTTTTTGCAGTGGTTTGCTATTGAAAGTTGACTTATGTTTTTTTGAAATATTGCGATTACCGATTGGGCTGCATTTTCATAGCGTCGTATTTAGATAAAATGGGCTAAATCGACAAACTATGAAATAATGATAATAAGTAAACATATAAAAGTACTATATGCAGTGTGCTTAGAGTATATAGAAGTAGTTAATGATTTCATATACATGTCAATTTTATATACATTTTTTAATTTAATGCCGACAAACATACATATTTACATACATACATACAAACGAGCTCGCATACATATTGACGCCAAATTTTGGGCATCGTCGCGGAGTTGACAAAATTTGTTTCAATCGACAATTTGCGACAATGTCGATCGGCTATGTTGTCTCGTTTGTCCTTTTTGCAGTGGTTTGCTATTGAAAGTTGACTTATGCTCTTTTGAAATATTGCGATTACCAATTGGGCTGCATTTTCACAGCGTCGTATTTAGATAAAATGGTCTAAATCGAAAAACTATGAAATAATGATAATAAGTAATCATATAAAAGTACTATATGCAGTGTGCTTAGAGTATATAGAAGTAGTTAATGATTTCATATACATGTCAATTTTATATACATTTTTTAATTTAATGCCATATATAGTGCATAATATGAATAAAATTAAAATATTATTTTAACTCGCTAATAGGTCATGTTGCCAATTCTCCTTTCTGAAGGGAACATCAGACAAATTCTTCAATTTCTGATTTTTAGCAAATGTTGTGAGGAAGCAGCTTGTGGGCAACATACAAATGCGAGGGGGATGGTAGGATTTTCAATGGTGGCTGTCAAATTGTAAAATTGAATTTTTCTCGTTTTACTCAATTTCATTCATTCATTTTATAAACTTAACGCATTTTATAAACTTAACGCATATGCGTAGGAATTCCATATGAAAACCAAATGTGGTTTACCAGGCGCACAGAAAAAATAGCGCGGTGCAGAGTTATGAACGAGCGCACTTTGCTTTGAAGCAGACGCACGTTCCTTATGAATGAATTTGTTGTCGTTGTAATATGAAATACTTAGAAAATAAGCCGCGAGTTCGGTTGAATATTATTGGCCGATGACGGCGTCTACGTGTTTTGTCACTTGCGCGAATGTTTTGATTTTGCGAAAGACATATTGAGGGACATACATATGTACATATGTGTACATATATGCAAATATATTTGGCACATGTGAATGAAAGAAGGCAATTTCAAGAATATTCACATATGGACATATGAACATTTGAAGCAAGTAACAATAATAGCTGTTTGACTTCACAGATTAGACATAAAGTTTGAATATTGTCTGTGGTGCTGCTTCTATAGCAGACTTCTTTATTTCAACGTGAAATATTTTGCCTAAGTTCAAATCCTATCAGATATTTTTTCATACTCTTTTTTATACTCTCGCCACCTGTTGCTACAGAGTATAATAGATTTGTTCACCTAACGGTTGTTTGTATCACCTAAAACTAATCGAGTTAGATATAGGGTTATATATATATAAATGATCAGGATGAAGAGACGAGTTGAAATCCGGGTGACTGTCTGTCCGTCCGTGCAAGCTCTAACTTGAGTAAAAATTGAGATATCTTTATGAAACTTGGTAGACATGTTTCTTGGTACCGTGAGACGGTTGGTATTGCAGATGGACGTAATCAGACCACTGCCACGCCCACAAAACGCCATTAATCAAAAACAAATAACTTGCCATAACTAAGCTCCGCAATAAGATACAAGACTGTTATTTGGTACACAAGATCACATTAGGGAGGGGCATCTGCAGTTAAAACTTTTTTTTAAAAAGTGTGCGTGGTCCCGCCTCTAATAGGTTTAATGTGCATATATCCTAAACCGCTAATGCTATAATAACAAAATTCACTAGAGCAAATGTTTTAGCACTTCTATTGACGGTGTGAAAATAGTTGAAATCGGGTGCAATCCGCCCGCTCCATATAACGGTACTGTTAAAAATACTAAAAGCGCGATAAATCAAGCACTAAACACGCCAGAGACATTAAATTTTATCTCTGGAATGGTAATGAGATGACTTTATAGGAACCGCGTTCAAAATTAGTCAGTAGGCGTGGCACAGCCACTTTTAGGTGAAAACCATATCTTGAGATCTGCTCAACCGATTTCAAACAATTCGGTGCATAACGTTCTTTTCTATTTCTATGTTATATTGCGAAAATGGGCTAAATCGGTTACAACAACGTCTATTTCCCATATATACACCATTTCAATTCCATCTGATTCTTTCACTTTCCACTATGCAAATAGGTAACAATGATTATATCGGGGTAAAACTTTGCGTGAATAATGCAATTAAATTATGCCACCTTGCGGCCAAAATTGTCTAAATCGAACCAAAACTGTTCAAACCCTAAGTACTAAATATGGTGGACCCCAGTGCCTATAGTTGACCTTCTACCGAAAATATCAGTCAATCCACAAAGAAATCTCAAACGTATACCATTTGACTTTGCGAGAGTATAAAATGTTCGGTTACATCCGAACTTAGCCCTTCCTTACTTGTTTATTTTTATATTCCTTTTTTATTAAATGAAATTTTAATTCTATTTTCATATTATTTCCCTCATTATTTATATTTTCTTGTCGGAAGTCAATTACTTTCATTTTTATTATTTCAATTTTTGTTTATGCGCATATCAAAGAACATCTGCGCATATGTATGTATATACATTTTGCTTATAGAGTGGTGTAGTTCGTTGCGTACTGATAGGTGTGGTGACATTTTATTTTCGAACTTGCCCGTTTTCGATGTTCCTTCATCGTACTTAACATTTTAGAACAGCTAACATTTGCTCCTCTATTCATTTACGTTCTCTGATAGTACTTATTTGTTTGCACGCAACCTTTTTGTTGTTGTTTAAAT